CCACACCCAGGTGCCAGGTCTGTCAGAGTCTCAATTCCATCGTTACTCACTCTCTCTTCTTTGCCCCACTAGAGGCTCCACACCTCAGATTCTGGAGAACTGATTCTCACATCTGCCATTCCTAACCTAGACTAGACCCTCAGGCCCCTGGCATCACCAGCCTGAAGAGGAGTCTGTGGGCTGGTTTTCTGGGACTTCCAAGGTGGGAAGGAATTATCAGACCCTGGAATGGGACGTGCAGAAAACACTGCAGGTCCTTCACCCCAGAAAGTCCCTTCACCAGGAACAAAGAGACGAAGAGATGACTGTTCAGGAAAACGTGTGGTGTGTTGGTGAGCATGTGGTTAAGGGAATATGCTAAAGTCTTTGAGTTTGTCCTGAGTTTCTTATCACAAGGACACTGAGCCAATGTGTCCAATTATCAGAAGCAGGTGTCATCGTCACTCCAGGCCCCAGGCAGGGGCTCGAGGCTGCAGACTGCTCCTTCCCGCTGACTTGTATCTCAGCTGCCCTCCCGCTTTGTCTCTGCCCCCCACCCCAGACCTGGACTCTCTGAAGATGATGGAAATGTGTGGAGTTGGCTGTTTTCTCATGTTGCTACCACTCTGAGCGCCTGTTTTAGTGAGATGGACACGCTGGGTCTGATGAAGATACTACATGGATATTAAAATAAGTTTTCCCACCTTCCAATGCAGAGCCTGACTTATATCCAATTTCTCATTTTACTTCTAAGAGAACAAGTGATACCACCAACTGGGCCTCAGTTTGCTAAAGTGTAACATTGGGACTGTGTTCTCAGGCGGTTGTGACAAGTGCTCAGGCATAAAGCTCGAGTCATAAAATAAGACATGGGCCTTTGGGTGGGGTTAACTCCTTTTTTAAAAAAAAAAAGATTTATTTATTCATTTACACAAGAACCAGGGTACAGGCCAGGAGACCAGGAGGGTGAGAGGATTCACCAGAGACAGAGTGGGGAACAGAACAGGTAAACTGACGAAATACACTGCTGAGGGGAGCAGCGGGTACCACAGGAGAGGTCTGCTGCTCCATGTGGGACCCTTGCCGGCCGGCTGGAGTTGAACTGGTGCTACAGAGGCTGGGACAGCTTCACAGCACAGTGCTCAACTGCCTGTGCCACCAGGAGAGGCCCCTGAACGAATTTTTTAAGTTCCAAGTTAAACTCCTATCAGTGGAAACTAAGGCACAGGAAATAAATGTACAGGAATGGAATTAATGACTGATGAAACATTGCAAAACAATTTCTAATTTTCCCTCTATTTTTCGTTACAGTGGCAATGAATTATTAGTTTTTAATTTCCTTATCTGAATGACTATCAATTTTTTTGTTGTTGGTATTCAGAATCTAAATGCTGACAGGAACAGCATTTCCTGTGAGCATTCTATGCTTGGCCTTTCCGGGGAGGGATACCACACCTAAGTGGGGCCTGCAGGACCCTAGAGGGGGGATGAGCTTGGGGAGATTCCGAGTGCATCCAGAGCGGGAAGGTGGGGTCTCTCACTCTCCAGTGCTCTGAGACTCCAGAAGTGGGTCGGGACACTGGGCCTCTGGGAATAACAAACAACACTGGGGTTTCCTGTGTAGCAGAGGCAAGAAAGCCTTTTCCTTTACTCATCAGAGGTTCTGCAGGGAGAGCCTCATAAGGTCAACTAATAAAAGAGAGATGAAGGAGAAAGCATTTGTACATGTACTGTGATGTTAAGTGTTCAACAGGCGCACAATAGTCTTTGTGCTAAAGTTACAGATGCCCATGTGTGCAGGGGAAGCTCTCTTCTCCCTGCCCCTGCTCAGATGAACCCCCTTGGATGACAAGTCCCAGGAGCCCCCGAACTGGACTTCCTAACAAAAGGCACTGCTGGGAACAAGGGGTGCTGAGTGGCCCCCTGGGTCTATATCACACAGAAGCAGGCGGCCCCTCTCCCTCTTTCTTCTACCCCTTCAACTTGCCCCATGGACTTGGAGGGGAGGTGCCTGGAAGACACATCTGGGTGACAGATTCCTGCGAGGCTGCGCCTCCTCCTTGGCGGGCACAATGGCAGTTGTTACCTCGATGTGCTGTATTTTGTATCATCCTCCCCCCTCTTCTATCCCAGTTCTCTGGGAACTGCCGAGCCCCTTCCTATGGTTCCTCCACAGAAGAAAACATGCAGCAGGCTTTTGGGTCAACCTTGTTTGGCTGGGCATTTGCTGTGAAGACATGGGGTATATTCTTTAAAAAAAAAAGATTTATTTACTTATGCATACAAGAACTGGGGTACAGGCCAGAGGTGTAGGGGTAGGAGGACTCACCAGAGACAGAGCGGGGAACAGAACAGGCAGACAGACAGAAACACACTGCTGAGGGGAGCAGCGAATGAGACAGGAGAGGTCTGCTGCGCATGTGGGTATCTCCCTGGCCGGGGTAGAACTCATGCTGCAGTGGCTGCGGACAGCTTCCTAGGTTGCATCTTATCCCCTTGCACCACCAGGGAGGCCACATGGGGTATACTCTTAAGAATATCCTTTATTCTCTTTTTTCTTTATGCACATTAATTCTAGTATGTATTATCCACACTGCCTGCTTTCTTTGCTTTTGTGCAACATACAACAGCACCCCATTTAGAGCATGCATGTCCTAATAGGTTGGGGCCTATGGGTGCCCTCAGTCACACATAACACCACAAGTCACCAAACTAAGACTTAGTGTGTATGTTTATGGCAGTTTTAGTCTCTCCAGAAACTTAACCTGACCCAGTCAGTCTGCTATATACAAAACAGGATACAGGTGCCTGGATGACACCTCCCTGCCACTGGAAAGATCACCTTGCCTGAAACAAGCCACTTTTCTCATCTCCTCCCCTCCTGTCTACACAGCTTCCATTTTGTACAGCTGCTGGGTGTTCTCTGCCTGTTCATGGGATGCCCAACACATGATTCCTTCATGAATCAACTAGTTGCTTAATTTTACTAGGTTGAATTTTTTTAAAGATATTACTGGCACAGAGCTCCAAAAAAACCTTTAATTTCCTATGTGAGGGGAGCAGTAGAAGCAGCTTTTTTATTTTTTTTTTTAAAGATTTATTTATTTATACAAGCACTGGGTACAGCCAGAAGCGCGGGAGGGTGAAAAAATTCACCAGAGCCAGAGCAGGGGAGCAGAGCAGGCAGAAGGACTGAAATACACTGCTTAGGGGAGCAGTGGGCACGGCAGGAGAGCTCTGTGCGCCATGTGGGACCCTCACCGGTGGCCGGGGTTCGAACCAGTGCTGCAGAGACTACGGGCAGCTTAGCAGCCCAGCGCTCAACTGCTGCGCCACCAGGGGAGGCCCAGCTTTTCTATTTTAATACTTAGTCTTTGACCATGGTTCTTGACACAGCTGCTGAATCCCTAGAATTTCCTTGCTGATGCAGGATTTTCTATTCTCATCAAGTGACTTGATGGCCTCTCAGATATATTCAGGAGGGAGGCTGCTCTCCGCAAATGTAAAGAGAGAAGAACCTTGGAACTTTCAACCTCAAACACCCCCATACTCCAGGAGAGACGAAGTACTAGAAACTGAGTTAATGATCAAGCTTTTAGAATGACATCTATGGAGAGAGCCATAACATGGGGGCTTACAGAGTTTCTGTGTCCGCGAACACACCCACAACTGGGAAGGAGAACCTGATTCTACTGGGACAGCAGCTCCATGCAGGGAACACTGTGGAGCCCTTTCTTTCCTCTGGGTGTTCTGTCCACTCACACCTTTTATTCTGGTATACTTGAGTCATCCAAGGGTTTCCTTGAGTGCCTTGAGCTGTGCTAGCAAATGATCAGGCCCGAAGAGGGGGCCTGGGCACCTGCTTATGGCCTGTCCTTCAGGAGCACAGAGGTCACCACACGTGACTGGTGTTTGGTGGGAACAGCCTTGCTGGACTGAGCCCTTTGTGGGGCCTGCTCCAACCTCAGTTCTTTCAATTCAACTGCAGGACACCCGACCTGATGGGGAAAACCACACACATCTGGTGTAAGACAGGAATAGTGTGTGGTAGTGACAGCAGAGACAGAGCTTTTCCTAAACACAGGTGTCTCCTGCATCCATGGGGAGTCCTGGGGTGATACAGGAAGTCCAAGGGGTGACACAGCATGGGCTGAGAGAGGATCTTTACTATGGTACAGTGTAAGGTTTTGTTTTGTTTTATAGTTAACAAGACAAAGAAAAATGACTTTGTACATGGGAAATTATAGGAAGGCAAATAGATGGGGATATGTGGTAGACAAGGTTTAGTTACAGGGTTGTAATGTGGATCCTTTTAGTGTGGCCTCTGGATTGATAAAGTTCTAGATTTCTCTGGTGACAACTTCTGTGTTCTCTCAGAGAGATTAGGAATGTAATACAAACTTATGTTCCGTGTTTGGCAGTGGGGGGTGGGGGGGAGCAGAGCTTTTCTTTATGACTTTTCCCAGCTACCTTCGACATAATCCATCTGCCAAAGTGGTAAAACCGGGTCCATTCTGCAACCCTTCACTTGCTTACAGCCCAGCCTCATTAGCATGACTGGGAGACCATTTGTTGCTGGGGGTGCAGCTGATAGTAGGAATTATTCTCTTTTCCTGTGTGGTTGCACCTGCTGTCTCTACCTCATGAACCACTTCGTGGTGAGAGCAAGCAGAAGACTTCAATGTCAATGAACACTGACTTTCTATATGAACTGCACATTATCATAACTTTTAATAATTTGGTGACTTTTTGGTCATCATTAATGCTGCTTGGGATTAGGCTAATTACACCACGGTGCTCTACTTGCCCAACTCAGGTTGGATAATTTAGGTGAGAAAGGAAATGGATCTATTTATTTTTTATTTTATTTTTTAAATATCTTGTTTTATATCATTCTTACATCATTTTTCATTTTTGCACAATGTATGCATTTTCATTTTGGTTATATTCCCCATACAATTACACTTCCCCTTATTTTGACCCTAATCCTTCCTCTCCCCGCCCCTCCCTCCCCCCTTTATTGTGTCTCTGGTTTATAGTTGCTTGTTGATTTTGATTTTTACTTTGTATTAATTAGTCTTTTTCCCGGTCCCTTGTTTAGGTTTTCTAGATTCCTGCTATGAGTGAGACCATCAGTTACTTTTCTTTTTCTTTCTGTCTTATTTCACTGAGCATGATCCCTTCTAGCTCCATCCATGTTGCTGCAAACTGGATGTTTATCTTTTTTGATTGCTGAGTAATATTCCATGGTGTATATGTACCACATCTTTCTGATCCAGTCATCTATTTTTGGGCATTTGGGTTGTTTCCATAGCTTAGCTATTGTAAATAGTGCTGCTATGAACATGGGGGTGCCGGTGCCCTTTGGAATTAATGTTTCTGTGTCATTTGGGTAAATACCTAGGAGTGGAATTGCTGAATCATATGGAAGCTCTATCTTTAGTATGAGGAATCTCCACACAGCTCTCCATAGTAGTTGGATCCGTTTGCACTCCCACCAGCAGTGCAGGATAGTTCCTTTTCTCCATATCCTTGACAACATTTGTTGTTGCTCAACCGTTGTGCCACAGGGGAGGCCCTGTTCCTGCTCTTTTATGTAACTGACAGACAACTGCAGCTTCACCCCATGCCCACATGTGATTTCACGTGATATCAAGAAACTGGGAGCACTCAGCCCCAGAGAGATCCTATGTGTCACAAAGAATGGGGGAAGAGATACAGAATGAGCTAAAGTATGCTCAGTGCTTGGTGACTCTTGTGGTATATGAAATGATCAATGTGATTAAAAAACAATGTCAGGGCCTCCCCTGGTGATACAGCGGTTGAGCGCTGGGCTGTGAATCTGCCCACAGCCACTGCAGCACAGGTTCATCCCCAGCAGCCAGCAAGGGTCCCACATGTCGTGCAGACCTCCCCTGCCATGCCCACTTCTCCCCTCAGCAGTGTATTTCATCATTCTGCCTGCTCTGTTCCCTGCACTGGCTCTGGTGAATTCTCTCACGCTCCTGCACTTCTGACTGTACCCAGTACTTGTATAAATAAATAAATAAATTTTTAATTAAAAAAAATGTCACATCATCATCTTCATCATCACCATCTCCATCTCTGAGAAGCCAAGAAGCAGAACTACCCCGAGTGGACGGAGACACTGGCCTCCCCAAAGCCTTTGCTCTCCCAGGTAGGACAACTAGGAATCATGGAGAATACAGCAGATAAACCCTTCCCAACCACCCTACTGCTCAGAAAAGGGCTCCTGGAAATCAGATCTCTGAACCCACTTGCGCGATGGCAAGGAAGATGGATGATCACTGGTATTATGGTGACTTTTCCCCAAGAAAGGGTGATCATCTACATCATTTTTAGTTTTTATATTCTTTCATTCAATGCAGATTTATTGAGAGGACACTGAAAGCTCAGCACTGTTTTAGTTATAAAGGGAAAGAGAAGTGAAAAATCAGATAAAACTGTGGTCCTCACACATTTCTTTTTTAAAAAAAAGATTTTATTTTTGCATAGAAAACCTGGGGTGGAGGCCAGAGGTGTGGGGGTGAGGGGTGAGAGGATTTACCTGAGACAGTGGGGAGCAAATCAGGCAGATCTACTGAAATACACTCCTGAGGGGAGCAGCGGGTGAGACAGGAGAGGTCTGCTGCGCCATGTGGGTAGCTCCTTAGCCAGGGATCAAACTCAGGCTGCAGCAGTGATAGTGCTGAGACTTAATCCCTAGGCCACCAGGGAGCTCCATTTCTATTATATTCTCTAGGATGATAGTTCCCACAAGGAAATGTTTCTCATTTCTTTACTGATCTGGTGGAGGCAGGAATAATGGAGAAGAACGATAAATCCTGAAAAAGGGCCGCAGAGTATCAGAGAAGGAGTCCTCTGGGAAGGTGAAGATGTGGGAACCAGTCGGCATGTTGTAAAAGGACACGCGTCCAGCCTCATAGTCCAAAAAAACCCCCACAATCCGGGGCTGCTCATGTATACAGAGAGATACTGAAGGCTCAGTACGGGCAGTGCAGCCTTCTGGTCTCCTCCACCTGATCACCCAGAATCCAGATTCCGGCTCCGGCTTCACGTTCCTGTCTCTGGGCACATCTTCCAGGCAAACTCCTAAGTCCCACCCAGTTCCCTGTCCCACGTCCACTTCAAAGTAATGTCGTCCTGAGGTGAAGCCCTCAGAGCCCAGGACACAGGGTAAGGCCAGAAATCTCCTAGAATTGTAATACTTCTTCTGGGAGCCTCCATGGGTCACTCTTCGCCCATCCTCAGACAGAATGAGATTATTATGAGCTGTCTCTGGATCCAGAGTCACATCCACTGAAAAATTAAACAAAAACCAGAAGGAACACATTTTCACAATGACAACTGTTTACCTTAAATAAAACCAGCCGGTGTGCGAATGCAAGCTTGTTTCCTACTAGCTGTGTGAGGCATTCTCTGAAGCTCATTTCAATATAAAGCACGACCATATGCATCACAAGAATGGTGGGGAAGATACTGAATGATCCGTGCTTGCTGAAATTTCTGGTATAGTCACTGATCAATGGGATAAAAGATAAAGTATCATCATCTTCATCACCATCACCATCTTCGTCTGTCAGAGAAGCCAAGGACCAGAACTACCAAGAGTGGACAGAGACACTGTCCTCCCCAAAGCCCTTGCTCTCCAGGTAGGACAACGAGGAATCACAGTGTTTACAGCAGACAAGCCTTTCCCATCTTTACTAATGACCACCCACACCAAGGATCGGAAAGGAAAATAACACGACAAACATCATAGCTTCTTACTGAAGTCTCAGGACACACGCCAGCCCCATGGCTGTATGTGGAAGCTCTCTGTCTTGCTTCAGATAATGTTCCCTAGGGATTAGCATAAAGAAAGAACTCCACACCAACATAACAAACCTAATAACTACAGTCAAGTAAAAGAGAAGCAAATATGATAAACTGTTGTGTGATTGGTGATTGGCCTTCGGGCTAACATTTAAATGAAAAGTGATGAGGGTATTTTAGCAAGGGAGTTAACCATGCACTGTGTTCCTGGATTAAACACTGAGTAGCTGGACTGTGGCAATAAGGAAAATCAAGTTGCAGAAACATTTCTGGGCCTCTCTTTTTTCCTTTCAGGCCAGAGCCTACTTTTGTCCACTCTCTGTCCCCAGGAAGGCTGACCCTGGTGGACACATAGACCAGGCTCCCTTTGCTAACATCTGTTTGCTTCAGTCAATGGGAAGCACTAGAGAAAAACAGAGGACTAAGAGCTTGCCTTGTGGATTAGGAGCATAATCAAATTAGGTAACAAATCAATATTTAAAGACACAAATATGCACACACATACATAGGCATGTGTGTATATATAGTCTAAATATTAGGCAATAGACATAATTCTACACCATAATATGAAGCTATAGAGACCTGAACACTAACAAACACCCATAAAAAAATTATACAATGAAACTTTTCATTGAAGACATTTCAGGATAATTGTCTTTATGTGTGTGTTTTAGGAAAATAGATGCTGAAAACCACTACAGGACATATCAAATTTAAATTAGAAAAAAGAGAAACCCAGCAAGAGTTATCTACTAAGGAAAAAATAGAAATTTAACAATAATCAATGAAAAAACAAAAAGAAAGCAACAGAGAGAGAAGACAAAAGGAGCTTCTTAGATATACTTCCAATAAATATAATCAAGGAGACAAAATAGAAGGCCAAATGAGTAAAGATACTTAAAAAACTTAAAATTTAGAGAATTTAGGGTCTCCCCGGTGGAGCAGCGGTTGAGCGCTGGGTTGCGAAGCTGCCTGCAGCTTCTGCAGCGCCGGTTCGATCCCCGGCCACGGGGCGAGGGTCCCACATGGTGCGCAGACCTCTCCTGCCGTCCGCTGCTCCCCTCAGCAGTGTACTTCGTCACTCTGCCTGGTCTGTTCCCGCTCTGGCTCTGGTGAATTCTCTCACCCTCCCGCGCCTCTGACTGTACCCCCTGATGTATAAATAAATAAAATAAATCTTTAAAAAAAAATAAAAGGGAAATTCTGATGTACTTTTAAAAAAAAATTTAGAGAATTTAGAGTAATCTTTTTACCATTCATAAAGTTTTCACTACTCATAAAATTGACAAAATGAATAAATTTAAATAAAATTACTTCCTATAAAACTCACCCAAAAGCAAAAACAAGTGCAAACCATGAGAGAAAGGATCATGGGCTTTAAATCTACACACAGATCATAAAGCAGAGATATAAAGCAAAGAAAAACGGACCTTGCCTTTTTTTTTAAAAAAAATCCCTACCATTCAAGATACTGAAAATACCCATAATGCATCACCACAGTCCACTGTGCCCCCTCCCCATTTAGTGCTCTCTAAGAAGAGTTATGCTAATACATGGAGGGGGGGCGGTTTCCAAAATACGAACAAGGTAATCCTACATTGCCGCAGAAACAAATATATTGAACACAAGCAATGTCAAACCAAATGTTCTAAAGAAAAGAGAATTACAGGTGTTACGCTCACTGTGAAGAAATAATCGGCCATGGTGGGAGGCCGATGTGCAAGATGACGAGTGGCAGCTCCTAGAATCTGAAGGCACTTTCAGCCAACAACCAGCAAGAGCCAGGTCCTATAACCATCAAGCCCTATAATCATAAAGAAGTAAAGACTGCCAAGCACCAGAGGACAACTGCAAGATGATACCCCAGGTTAGCCACCAGACAAGCAGCAGCTCAGTCAATACCATAAGTACCTTTTCTGACACTCACATGGGCTGGCCCAGATTTCTGACATATGATACAAAGAGACAGTAAGTTTGAAGCCACTAAATGAGTTTGCAGCAATATAACTCCAACAGTCATTCTGGTTACGCTTGATCTGGCAGACAAATGAGTTATGGAAATCAATTTTCAGAATTTTTGAATTTTGGCTGGACAGTTGAAAATGTCATCTCGGTCAAGGTCTAAAACTATTTCCTTCTCAGTCCATCATACTGGTCTAGTTTTGCAGCTTCTCAGACTTACCCGAAATATTAATAATGAACTTTATGTTCCTGACACTGTCCTAATCTCCTTACCCAGGTGGATGCACTTCCTGTTTATGACAACAGAAAACGTATAACTGTTAATATTTTCATTTCCCTGAGGAGGCAAACAAGGAGGTGAATTGCCTGGGCTGACACAGCTAAGAAATGGGAGAGCAGGAAACTGAGAGGTGCACAGATCCCCAGCAAGCACTGGAGCACCCTAAAGCAGGAGCGTGTGGGGCTCCAGGGAAACAGTACATGTCTGGCCCACAGATGGGAGAAGAATGTGGTTAACACTGAAGTTAACTTCCACCCCCAGCACTGAAAAATTCCTGACTTTCCATACCTTGGTAGGTCTTTAATATTTTCCTCATAACACAGTAGAGCTCAGAAATGTCGCAGTCAGTATGAATTTCCAAAGATACGGCCTCTGGGACTTCCAGCTTCATAGCTGAACTCCTAGACTCAGCAGAGCAGAGACTTCTTCAGTGGGACATTCCATGAAGCTTCTGTACCAACACCCCTTCCCCCTGTACTCACATACACCTTACCTGTTCAGGGTGTCTTTCACGTCCTACAGAGAAACAGGGACAAAAGGTGAGTTTGGAAATATACACAATTCATGGGGTTTGGCATGTGGGGTGTTCTCTATACACTCCATCCAAAGCAGAGTGAGCCCCACCTTGATACTGATGGATTCCCAGGTCAGATGAGTCCCATTCTGATCCCTAGATCTAGAGCACGGCAGCCAAAGGGATCTACGTGAGCCCAGTAACCCTCTTGCTATACACTGTGATCACAGCATCATGGGAGCTGCTTGAGGACGGCTGGCAGATCCTGCGCTCCCTCTTCAAGACTTCCTTCAGGGACTCCCCTGGTGGCACAGGTGGTTGAGCACAGCGCTGTGATGCTGTCTGCAGCCTTGGCAGCGCTGGTTTGATCCCGGCCAGCGGCGAGGGTCCAACATGGTGCAACAGACCTCTCTCCTCTCTTGCCTGAAGCTCCCCTCAGAAGTCTTTTTGGCCAGTCTGCCTGTCTGTTCCCAGCTCAGTCTCTGGTGAATCCTCTCACCCTCCCGTGCATATGGCCTGTACCCAGTTCTTGTATAAATCAATATTAAAAAAAAAAAAAGCTGCTTTCAGGCTGCTTTCAGGGACTTAACTGCTTCAGATGAGTCTACATTAGCTATCACTGATCACACAGGCCTTTCCTTAGTGAGGAATCCATGCACAGCTGATGAGAATGGGCCACAGCAGGGGTGGCAGGTGTTCCATGCAGGAGGAGCAAGTCAGGTGACATTGTCAACCTTACAGTGTGGTCTTTTGTTCTACAGTGGCAACTAAAATAAACAGCTCCAGCAATTAATGGTTTTGGGGTGGATCCCATATGCAGCTGAAGGAAGGTACAATTAGAGCTCATGGGGCAGGTGATCCACATGAAACCAGGGAAAATGTCATCTGTCTTGGGGGCTTCGGTTTATTATCCTACAGTCATGCAGAAAGTCCTTAAGCAGACAGATCGACACAGAGGCTCCTGTGCACATGGGACAGAGGCAACAGGATAGCCCGTGGCTCCATCTGCCCAAGGAACACACCACATATATCCAGACTGGGTGTGTTTTCTCAGATTCATATAAAAAACAACCTCTAGGCTAGGAAGGCCAACCTGCAGATATTGGTGTATATTAAAAAGAAACACTACATTAAAGTATGACTCGGTAATGTCATGCTTTACAGCGAAACAGGCAGGCCTTGCATTTTCCCCAAACTTCCACACCTTACTCCCCTTAATACCTCAGGAACAGACACCTCTTCATCTTCCCAGGGCACAGCCTCACCTGCAGCAGACTATGGGCTGGGGCCTGACATTTCTTCTCTAGTTCCAGGATGTGGCTCTTGAGTTCTCTGCTCTGCTTGTTCACACTGGCTTCACTGTCCTGCAGCCTTTTGAGAGTCTGACATTTTTCCATCTCCAGTCTCGCCAGAAGACACTTACTGTCTTCATAAAGGAAGTTATAGAGATTCTGAAAGCTAGACTTGATTTTCTCTTTCTGAAGCTGCACCTCCTCCTAGAATCAAGGAAGGATACTCAGAAGTTGGAAACAAAACAAAATTCAAGTAGAATTAAAGAAGCAAAATGTGGTAAACAAATACAGTGAGAAACTGTTCGGTCATATAAGATGCATGAAACTCTGGTACATGGTAAATCATGGATAAATCTTGAAGGCATTATCGGTGAAGAAGTAAGAGAAAAATGGCAACAATTTTATGATTGTACTTACAGAGGTACTTAGTCAAATTTGGAAAAAAAAGTAGAAGGCTGGGGACACGGGGGAGGAGGGACAACAGGGACATTGTTTACTGGGGTAGAGCTTCAGGCTGAAGGAGGAACTAGTTCTGCAGATGGAGAGTGGACACGGGGCTCCACAATGTAAAGTCATGCCAAGAAACTGAACACATAGGATGCTGACATGGTAAATTTCATGATCTATTTATTTTAAAAGACGCACACACTTAAAAAAAGAGGTTTTGGGCCTCCCTGGTGGCGCAGCCAGTTGAGTGCAGTGCTGTGAAACTGCCCGCAGCCTCTGCAGTGCTAGTTCGAACCCCGCCCGCCTCAGAGCAACCCAAATGGTGAATGACCTCTCCTGTCTCGCCTTAGCAGTCTATTTCGTCAGTCTGTCTATTTTGTTCCCTGCTCTGTCTCTGGTGAATCCTTTCACCCTCCCACACAACTGGCCTATACCCCGTTCTTGTACAAATAAGATCTTTAAAAAATAAATAAATAAAACATGAGGTTTTGTTCAGTTTATAAGCTGCTTTGCTGTGACATTTTTTCCTGATGAGACATTTGAGGAGAGTGTGCATGTCCCTGCTGCAGAGCATACCCAGGAGCAGGCACGCAGGTGTGGGAGAGGCTGTCACAATTCTCTCTCATCACCTGATTAATTTTCTTCTTCATTCAAGATTTAAGAGAACAGTGCTAGATAATTTCAATGTGGAGCAGGGCCAAGGTCAAACATTCTTATAAATCTAGTTTGTTGGGGGGGATAAAAATGCTATCATAGATTTTTGTGGTGCAAAAGCTATGATGAACATCAACAATTCTGAGTGTAAGACACCCAGGTGGTAGGTGATTTCAATGTACTCACCCTGAGAGTTCTTGCTGGCAGAATTTGAGCACAGTTACTTGAAATATTCATTCATTCATTCATTCATACATTCATTCACCAAACCTGTGTCCATTCAATCCTCCTTATGTATAAGACTGACAGAAACCAATTGATCTATCTTGTGGGACTCACTTTACATTTTGGAGACAAATTGCAATTTCCATCGATGTTTTCTCAGTTCATAAAATGTTTCAGGGATGTGATGTGATAGAAGGGAAATTGATGAGGATGAAGTGGAACTTTTGTGCAGGAGACACATACAGGACAGCTGGACTCTGGCACTGACTTGGCTTCCCTCTATATTTGCAACAATGGAAGTTTTCACTACCCGAGATTCCAGAAAGGAAGGAGGTACAACTGTCCTTTGGGAGCTCAAATTTAACATCCACACACAAAGGATCAAGACAATGGCTTGAAGATACCACCAAGGGAGGAATAACTAACCACTCTGTGGGCTGAGTGCCTGAGGGATCACATCAGTATTTCTGGAAGGCATAGGTCTCTGATGTAGTACACCGATCAGACATGGAAAGTCTTAGAGAAACACAGTCTGCAGTCAAAATAGACTTGTTCTTATGGCAGCTCTATCCTCATTATCAGTCTCATAAAGCTGTGTAGTATGATGTCACCTGGACTGCCCATTTTCAGTGCTCACAAAGACTATTTCTTCTTTGGGTGTCATCTATTTGTTCTGGTCTAGTGAGAATAAACCTTCAAGGTTTTGCTGAGTGGTCCCTTCTGGATATTCTCTAGGGTGGAAAATAGCATGAGAAAAATAACCTCAAATTCTTACCTCCCATTCACCTATTTGTCTTCTTATGGTCGTCGTTATACTCTTACATTCGTCTTCCTGTTTCCTTAGTTTTGTCAAAGCATCCTGGATCTTTGTCTGATAAAAATTGGGTGAAGAAAGAAAGTGTAGTCAATTGGACAAATTCTTAAGGATCTGTCACTATAGTCTCACCCAGGGATGATGCACATAGAACAAGGTAACTACCATCTCAAAGACTATCTCAAAATTTCTAATATAGTGTAAGCGGTATGTGTTCATCAAGACCCCCAAGAAGCTTCCCAGATAAAACTCCCGACAATGACGGGCAGAAACCCACCATGCAGCATTGTAAGAATTCTTCTTTTGCTGATTAGTTTATCCTACCAGACTGCAGAATAAATAAAACGTGGTGGGTCTCTGACCCTGTTTTCAGAATCTGTGACACGGCCTCTCACATTGTGGTTTCTCAAATTGTGCACACACAGGAAGATAAAACAGACCTCTGTGGGTCTGAGCAAGTGTATTCTGCATCAGTGGGTCATCAGGGCAAGTGTGAATAGGGATGAGACTCTAAAGGCAGGGGGCAGTTAAGATTTAATTTAGTGGGGACCCAGGATGCACTATTTTTCAGACAAATGAGATGTAAAAAGCCTTGTTTCCTAATCACAAGCTCAGGTTTCAGCCTAAATAATCACAGATCTGAGGTTAGCCTGAGAGCAGGTGCTGCTACAGGAGTCCGGGGTGCCCACTCACCCTATAGCAGGGACAGGCGTCTCTGACAAGAACATGGTTGTGTTCTCTGTGCTGGGGGGAGCGCTCACAGCACCAGCAGATGGGCTGCCCAGCATCCTCACAGAACAGGTGGAGCTGCTCCCCATGTTCCTGACACAGACTCTCACGCTCCATCTCCTTGATGGTTTCAATAAGGTTTTCTAGCTGCTTCATGGGGCGAAGACTGTCCTTTTGAAATTTTGTGCGACACAGGGGACAGTCGAACGACATCTGCCATGGTCTTTCCTCTTGCTCCTTCTCAATGATGCCTTCTAGGCACCCGCGGCAGAAGCTGTGCCCACAGTGGATGCTTGACGGTGCCGTCATCAGCTGTAGGCAGATGGAGCACGTGGCTTCCTCCTTCATCTTCTTCATAGTGGTAGCTAAGTCCATGGCTTTTCCTCAAAATCTCCAATAACAGTTTGGAATCAGAGATGAGGCAGTCTTGAAATCTTTCTGGAGAAGAAATAGTTTGGAATTCAGAAAATGTAAACCCTATTGCTGGGTTTTAGTAAATGGTGGTCCCTATCACAACTGGCCATTAATATGTAAATTAGGGGCCTCCCTGGTGGGGCATCATCACTATGAAGCAATCTGCAGCTACTGCAGTTTTATCCCTGGCCAGGGAGATGACCCACATGGTACAGCAGACCTCTTTTGTTTTGCCCGCTGCTCCCCTCAGTGGTGTATTTCAGTAGATCTGCTTGTTCTGCTCCCCACTCTGTCTCTGGTGAATCCTCTCACCCCCTGTACCTTAGGCCTGCACCCCAGCTCTTGTGTGCATAAATAAATCTTTCTATAAAATAAATAAATACAATTCAAATTAAAATAGGTACTGGCATGCGGACAGACATACAGATCAATGACGTATGATAGACCAGAAATAAACCCATATATTTATACTCAATTAATTGACAGGGTGTCAAGACAATCCAATGAGCAAAAAAAGAATTGTCCTATCAACTAATAATGGGAAAAGTACATACTTATAAGCAAAAGAATGAATTTGAATGCCTGCTTCTAACCACACACAAAACAACCCAAAATGTATCAAAGATGTAAATATAAAAACTGAAAAAATTAAAACCGGTGGGATGGAAACTGAAGGGACAGATGTTTGCTTTCTTAGGTTAGTTTTGGTAATTGGGATAACATCAATGACAGCAATGAAGAAGAAATACTAGGATAGAAGGGCAATAAAATTAAGTTTCTTGAATTTCATAGTACTCCATCAAGAATGCGAATTACAGGCCTCGCTGGTGGGTCAGGTGGTGGATCACCGCACTGTGAAGCTGTCCGCAGCCTCTGCAGTACGGGTTCCATCAGGGCTGTCCAGGAGAATCCCATATGGCACAGCACACCTCTCCTGTCTCCCCCACAGCTCCCCTCAGCAGTGTGTTTCAGTCAATCCGACTGTTCTGTTCCCCCACTCTGTCTCCGATGAATCCTCTCACCCCTACCCCTAGACCCTCTGGTCTGCACCCCAGCTCTTCTATGCATAAAAATAAATCTTTTTAAAAAAATCAAGGGAAAAAAAGAAATGGGGGGGAAAAAGAACCTTTAGGTGGTTGTTATGACTGCATTTCATTGTTCCAAAGTTACACAGACACCAAAAAGACTTAAAAGACCCAAGTTAAATTTCTAAATAAAGGAGGCCTCCCTGGTGGCACAGGTGATTGAGCGCAGTGCTGTGAAGCTGTCCCCAGCCTCTGCAGTGCTGGTTCAATCCCCGCTGGCCTCAGAGCAACCCACATGGCGCGGCAGACCTCTCCTCTCTCCCCCACTGCTCCCCTCAGCAGTGTATTTCGTCAGTCTGCCTGTTCTGCTCCCGACTGTCTCTGGTGAATCCTCTCATCCTCCCGCACATCTGGCCTGTGCTCCAGTTCTTGTATAAATGAAATAAATCTTAAGAAAAAAAAATTTTTTCTCATAAAGGAAATTATAGTGTATGATATAAAAGCACAAGAACAGGATTAATGGCTGATTAGACATTGCAGAAGAAATCATGGGAACTGGAAACACAGCAACAGCAACTCTGAAAAATCAAACCCAAAGACACAACAATGCCCAAGACAGGCGTGAGCTCTGCCCCTGGCCATGCGCAGATGGGGGCTGGGGGGAATTTGTTATAGGGCAGGGAGAGGTGCACCCCAGATCCCGCAAACCTGCCTATTTTAAAAGGGTTCTGCCATTCGCCGCATCAACACAAAACATATGAGACTTTAATGGGAAGAAACTCTAATACAACTAGGAAACAATACAGGAAAAGCAAAGAATCTAGTTTCTAAATCAAGCACCCAAAGTTACCTGTCCCCTCGTGGGTAAAAGTCCATCCATACGGGATCTGCCCAGAACAAGGCCCCAAAGCCTGCCACAAGTCTAAAACATCTTCCAGTGGGGACCCACAGAAAAGGGTCAGAAAAAACCAGACAAGCCTGGTAGGAAAAGAGCAAAATCAACATCAAGATAAAAGCTGCCATTGTCACCTCCCCATGGGTCTCACCCACATCTGTGTCACCCAGTCCACGACCAAAAGACAAGCGCAGTTTCTTCACGTGTCTCTAGACAAGTGCCTCCTCCAGGTCTCCTTCTGGCTCCATCCTGCTTCCTTCCTTCCTCAGTCTCCTCTACATCCTCTTCTCTTCCTGCTCAGCTCCACCCTCCTTTGGGTGGGGCAGGGAACCTGGAACCTCCCTCTTTCCTGGGGACCACCCTGTTACACTTTGTTTCCCCCAGCCCTTACTTAATCCTTCACTATGGCAAACATAGAAATGTAAGTTGCAGTCACATAAGTTTTTTGCTAGTAATAAAATGACTGTTTAAGGTAAATGACTACTCTAAGAACACTTTTGTTTAGCAACTGTGCCTTCTTTAAAACAAAGAATAATAAATGTCATGACCTCTGCAGGAGGGTAAATAGACCCTTGGCTGTTCTAGAGGAAGATGTGATGATTGTTATCTTCTTGCCTTAATGCATATGCTTATGCACTCTCAAGGTTTGCTTGAAATGTATAAATAAAGGGCTGCTGAGACCCTCAGCAGGATGATGTCTGCACCATGACCAAGTGTTTGCTTCTCCTCAATTTCCCCTCCCCCTCATTCGCTACAATTGCGCCAACGCCTTCACATCCTTCAGGAACCCCTGACACCCAGGCTGCTGTGGCTGGCTCCCAGCAATAATTCAATGCTTAATATCTGCCAATGGCCCCATAGACAGGCACAGAACATTCCATCATGTCAGGAGATGTCCTTGGAGCAGGTACTTGTAGAGATAGAGAAGCAGACAGGTTTGTTCACAGATGTTGTATGAGAGAAGAGAACTCAGGGAGGGAGAGTGAAACTCTCTGTGTCTGAAGAGCCTCAAGAGGAGTCAGCCCTATTTACTTCTTTGTCCTGCTGGCAACACTGACATGAATGTTGGCAACAGAGTCCATGGGACCAGTCACACTTGACTGTCCTCACACCCCCATATCTCATTCTCTGGACCCCACTGAAACCCTCTAAGCAAAAGGTTAGTCTCATTTCCATGGAGCCCACACTGAGGCAGGAGTCTGGAGAGAGAGGCAAGAGGTGGCTCTGGGAGCAGAGTCCCTGGGCACAAGGGAGGTGACTGTCTCCCTCCCTTTATTATTGTCACAGTTTGGTGAGCTCCTTATTGCCATCCACCCTCCACTCCCCCACTGAAAGGTCCATGCAGGAGGCTGGAATGCAAAAACCCACCGGGAAGCCCACCTGGGAACAGGAATATGGAAGCCTGCCTAGAGAACTCAGACAATGAACCTCCCCCTCCCTACAAATCTTTTCTCAGACAAAGAAACTCCCCCGCCCAACAAACTTTTTCCCGCCTAAGGAGCCCAGTTTCCCACCTGACCTCTCCTCACCCTATAAAACCCTGCGTCCCCTGACAATGTGTGCGGCTTCACTGACCCCCCAACCTTGGGTCTGTGAGGTCCGCCTGGGGCGCAATAAATTTTCCTTCCTTTGAGAAATTTAGCCTGGCTCTCCTTTTCTTTACCGCACCAAACCTTTCACCCATACACACAGACATCACAGTCCACCCCAGAGCAAACCTTGGCCAGGACTTTGCACTCCTCCTCACAGCGCAGTCAGTCACAAAATCGCTGCTAGTTGCTCTGCAGCTCCACTTCCAGATTCCTGGAAGGGAAGTTCCTCTGACTAGAGTCAACTCAGAAACGAAACTGATGAGGGGGCGGGTCCAGACAGATGAGGGAGGAAACTTGTCAAAATGCCAGGGGTTTTACACTCAGGAATCCTGACTGGAGGGCCTGGTAGGAACAGCACTTGCCGGGGACCAGCCTCCGGCAAAATGTCGTGTCAGGGGTTCCTGAAAGGATGAGATGGCATCTGCGAAAACGGAAGGGCTAAGGGGAAAGGGATGAGGTAAAGTGAGGAGACACTGATACTTGGTGAGGTGCTAGTATCTTCTGCCGAGAGGCTCAGCAGGTTATTTATACATTTTTTGCAAGCAGTGAGATGACATTATCATGTGCATAGAAACAAAGCAGAAACAATCAGTGCATCTCTTTTTCCATGGGCTTTTGGCCACTAGTGCTCTCAGTGAGAAGACAACCTTCAAGGTTAATAAAAAATAAAGCCTTACACTAAAACTCATTGTTTCAGCTAAACAATAACCTAAGACAGTTGATAGCCGCCAGGACATCCCTATCAGCTAAAGCCTAAGCAAGAAAAGACTTTTCTTATTCTCATGGCCTTCAGCCAGGGACCGGCTGCTACTCAGCTATCAGAACTTTTTCTACCTAGAAACTCCATAACTCAAATAGCTTCATTTAAAAACTTTCCCAAGAAACTTCAAGAGAAGGCAAAAGGAGGACCTACTATAATTATTGTATTGTAATGCTTGTCAGGCATGTTCAATAAATTGTCTCCCATTGTCAAGTGGGCCATATTAATAGCCTAGGGTGGAAGAGGCATTTCTGATAATCGCACAGTATATATTTGTAAAAGAAAGTACTTCTGCAGAGGCTGAGGTGGGTGGAGCCAGGCAGTGACTGGGATTCTAGAGCCCCTGCCTGGATCCTGGGACAGGTGCTTTGCTTGGTGCTGATATGAATGCCCTAGGGGGTCTGTCAGGGTGGCTGACCTGCAGAGGAGCTGAGGAACAACTAAGCCAAGGGTGACCAGCTACTCGGGCTCAGAAGCTGCTCGTTCCAATGCTGGCCCAGCTTCCTCTCGTCCCTCCCAGGAGGAATCTCTCAGTCCTGCACTCACCTGAGTGTTCCCTAGTCTCTGCCATTTCACACCTGAAGATTTATCTTATCCTGTCGCAGCCTGCAGGCAGGCCCTACACAGGGACTGGCAACACCAGCTCCTGAGGCATCCAGCTGAAGACAGAGGGAGAATGTGTCCCTGGGTCCCTGATCACAAGATCACTCCTTGCATCTCCCTCTACCAGATCACTGTCCTGAATGCAATTCTGCACCCAGGCACACTCATTCTGAGATGTCTTTTCAAAGGAGCAGGAAAGGAGATCCCCACAGGGGATCAACCACACCCACACAGCATAGTCAGAAAAGACAAGCTCATGGCAGGGTCTGTCCTGTGACCACTGCCCCCCTGGTACCTGCTGTGTGAAGGAGGGGATCATGCAGAGTTCAGGGCTGAGAGGGCAAGGGATGCAGAAGAGCTTTCAGAGACATGTCCCCTAAGTGGGGAGAGTACAGTGTGTCAGGTGATTTGTGTGATGTGGTGAGACAATTAGGTGAGCAGTGAGAGCAGTGCCTGGTGGTTCTTCCCTGTTTATGGGGAGTCTAGGTTGTCAGATCTCATAGAATTGGTGTGGGTGAGATCACTGGAGTTCCTTAATAGGACCTGTAGCCTTAGTAATTGCTTTGTGGGGAACTATCACCCCAGATTTCTAAGGTGTTTTTCCTGAAGTGTTTTTCCCAAAGTGAACCAAAGATAAAAGTTTAAGAACTGAAATGGTTAAAACCGTTTGGAAGAAAAGAGAAGGAAAAACTCTTGTTCCCTTGGGTTCCCAGTGGTTATCTGGATGACACCCAAAACACAAGTAATAAAAGTTCAATATAACAAGGATACCAAGTTGAGCTTCTTAGGATTCCATCAAGAATGTAAAAAGATAACTCAGAGAATGACAGAAAGTTTCTAAAATTATTAGGCTGATAAGGGACATACCTAGAACTGTGATTAGCATAAAAAGTTATTACAAACCAAAATACAAATAATCCAACTAAAATGGGAAAATCATGTGAATAGAGATAATTCCAAAAAGACACACAATTAACCATGAAAGTTCCACCATCACCAGTCATTAGGAAAATGCAAAAGCCAGAAGAAAACAAAATCTCAATGAGATAGCACTTAACATCCATTAGCATAGTTCCCTTGAAAAATACCCACAATAAAACGTAGAGAAATTGGAATGTCATACATGGCGTGTGAGCATATGCAACGTTGTAGCTTCTTTGTGAGACACAGGGCAAGCTAGGAATTAGGCAGTTTTAGGGACACTGCAGGAGGGGACCTCCAAGAATTGAGGAAGTCTTCAGAGATAAGGGCAGCAAGAGGAGTGTAACTAATTAACTAATTCCACCTGGAAAAACAAACATCCCAGGACGAGGACAATGCTGGCCTCGGTTTCCTTCAGGTGATAAAGGGAGGCAGAGATTGGAGAAATGGAGAGTGGTTTAATTTATAGACAACTTAGAAGGGCAGCTGTTTAACTTCAATGCAGGGATGCCCATCCAGAGGACTGGGCCATAAAGATAAAGATGCAACAAATGTGGAAAGACAGACCTGCTAGATAAGGAATGTGAAGATCCCCCACTCAGTAGCAAATTAAGTGAGACAGCCGAGAACTAACCAATCACAAAGAGACTGGTGGAGCTTTAGAATAATGAGGGAAAGAAGGTCTATATTCCCTGAGGCACGACTCCACTTTGGCTTCCTTGCCCCTCCCAGGCCTGGTTCCCTGGCCTGGGAGTCCCACTTTATTTCTGTTCTTTTTCTCCTCAATAAACTTTTTCTTTCTCTAAACAAACCTGCCTCTTCTCGCTTGCTTGCCTGAGCGTCTGCGAAGTTCCTGCTGCGGCTTCATGAGACACCACCCCGTGGGGGTCTAGTGGCTGGGACTCAGCGCTGCACCTGCAGCCTGGGATCCATTCCTGGCTGGGAGACTAGGCCTGACAATTCCCGTATCATTTGGAAAACAGACATTTCCTTCCAAAGTTGAACAAGTTACCAAAAGAATTAGCAATTCTACTCCGAGGTACAAACCTCCAAATTTCAACATAATCACAAAAACATGCACAACATTGTTCACAATGGCATCGTTTGAACTCACCCCAAAGTGGAAGCAACCGATGTCCATCCTTTGATGAACGGGCACACACAATGCGTGACATCCATACAGTGGGATGGTTTGTCCAGAAACAGAAGCAAATACTGACCCAAACGACAACACTGATGAAGCATGAAAACCTGACATGAAATGGAAGAGGCCAGACACCCAGCGTGAGACCAGGACCCTGGCAGGTCAGAGATCTGACCCAGTGACGGGGGAGAGCACGAGGGATGACCCTGCTGTTCTCTCACTTCCCCGCAGGTCAGGCTGATCTTCTGTGCTGTCTGCACAGTGGCTGTGTCCAGCAGTCATGGCACACTCACTGAGTGTCCACTGAGAACTCAGAGCCGGTTCAGGTAAAGGGAAACAGCAGATGACAAAACAGACCAAGTCCTGTCCTAATAGGACTGACGTTATATTTCTACGATGGGAAACAAAAGAGAC